GTGCTCTTCCGATCTGCTGTAAAATGCTTTGTTGAACATCTCGATACGATCATTTTTGACGAAGTTACACTCTCTTGAATTTTGCCTATTTTTTGGAGGGTAGAGTAAGTGATGCTTTAATTTTGTTGAGAAGTGTATATATATATATTTGTATTATACAGAGTGTTTCAGAAGTAGTTGGCCAAACTTTAAGAGCATATTCCACTCATTATAAGGATGAAAAAAAGTCATATAAACATGGGTTCGAAAACGTTTCCTTTCCTAGTTATAAACATTTCTTATTTATATTGTACGTATTTATGTTGAACGACATGCCTCGCTTCGACGTTTCATGAATTGTACTTCCATTCAACTTCTAAAGTAAACAAAAGGTTATTAGATAGGTCTGTATGGATTTGGAATCGGTCTTTATTTAAGACTTTCTTCACTTCGCACGAGATCGCATTAGAAATGCAAAACGTTTCATCCTCAACTGTGTGGAGGATATTAAACGAAGCTCTTTTTTGTATTCCTATCACATACAACGAGTACAAGCTTTCTTATCAGCGGATTATCCATCAAGAGTAATTTTTGCTCAGTGGTATTTGCAACAGTGTACTTTTCCAAATTTTAAAAATGTTTATAACTTGGAAAGGAAGCATTTCCGAACCCATGTTTATATGACTTTTTTTTCATCCTTATAATGAGTGGAATATGCTCTCAAAGTTTGGCCAACTATTTCTAAAACATTCTGTATATATATTATACGGGGTATCCGAAAAGCGTGGCAACCCCTTAATATTTCGGAACCTAAACATTTTTTGAGAAAAATATTTTAGACAAAAGTAGGACTTAAAAGAATCTATTAAATGATTTTGTTAATTTAACTTTGAATGGCATCGCCAAGATCAGATAAAGGTCATATTAATTTTTTTTAATGAAATATTCTATTTTTGATTGCATCTAATAGCTGGTGTCAAGAGCTTTCCAAAGTACTATAATAAAGTTACTTTTTCGTTAAGAAAATCTCGAGTTATGAAGCTTGAAAGTTACAGTATTGCCGGCATTAGCATTATCTAAAGTGTCCGAACAATGGCTAAAACTTTTTGAATGTTGTTCAGAATCATGACCTTGACAACATATGTCAAGTCATAATCATTGTTTTTCGATTTTTTTAAAATAAAAATAATTTTCAAAAATGAAAATAAGAGCAACAATCTTTAATGACTTTGATCATGATGTGTTGTCAAGGTCATGATCCTGAACAACATTCAAAAAGTTTTAGCTATTGTTTGAACACCTTGGATAACGCTAATACCAGCAGTACTGTAACTTTTAAGCTTTATAACTCGAGATTTATTTAACCAAAAAATATTTTATTATAGTGCTTTGGAAAGCTCTTGATACAAGCTATTAGATTCTGGAACCAAAAATAGGGTGTTCCATTAAAAAAAAATCGATGAGACCTTGACCCGACCTTGACAACGCTACCCAAAGTCAGACTAATAAAATCATTAAATAGATTCTTTTAAGGCGATGCTGGAAAGTCGGAAAAATTTGCACGAGATTGATAAAATAGACTCTTCAGAGTCAGTGGTATTTCTAAATGAACTTCTTACAATATCTTCTGGTCTCACTCAAACACGTGGAATGTCCTTATCGGCTAACTTACTGAAGTGCCATCTCTTAGAAAATCTGGCACTTACTGCTAGACGCAATTTTTGCTGTTTTTAGCTGAGCGTACGAATTACCATAAATTGCAGTTGTAACGATATTTTTTTTTCTACGCTTTCAATCGTAGCTCAAAAAGTTTTGTATTATTCGTTCCTGTAATCCGAAAGGGGCGAACTACTTATTTTGTACATATGAACTAAAGAACTTTTATACCAATGAAATGTTTACGTCAGGTGATAGCTGTACGACCCGAAAAAAGGAAATTTTTTAATTTTTTGTCGCTTTACTATAAATTCGTAGCTCGCCCCCTTACATTTTATGTTTATTTCAATAAGTTCTGTAAAAGCGATTTCAATTCCGTTCAGTATTTTCGAAGTTATCGTTACAACTGCAATGTGTCGGTAATTCCGACCTTCCAGCATCGCCTTAAACCCTACAAATTTTTTTTAAACCCTACAAAAACGCTTAGTTTTCGAAATATAAAATCACACTTTTCGGACACCCTGTATATTTTACGTATGTATATTTACGTATGTATATTTTAATAACTAACACTAATTGTAAGCTCTATCAAATTAGAATTTTATTAGGATAATTTTTTTTCTAAAATTAATAAATATAATTTCCTAATCCAATTGATTTTTAAAGTTTAATGTAAAGAAACCTCCAAGTATATTTTTAAATATTTTTATCTCGAAAAAATTGTATTAAATTAAGCTATGAAACCTTTGTATTATTTTAAATGTACACGACCTCGAAAAAAATGTTGTATTAAAAGAAAATCGACGTGGTATTATCTTCAATGTATAAGACGATCACGCAAATTTATTTTGTAAATAATGTACCTCGAAAAAAAATTGTATCAAATTAAACAAATAAAATTCAAGTTGTATTATCTTTAATGTATACATAATTTTAAAAAAATTTAATTTTAAAAATCAAAAATATAATACCATAAAAAAGTGAAATCAATACATTATTCCAAGTATATTTTTTGTAATTGTCTTAAAAGAATACAATGGTGAAAACAAAAAAAGCCGAAACTTAAAAAATGCAATAGTGGACACAAAAAAGCCAAATAAAAACATAAAAAAGAAGTGAAATTAAAATGTTATTCCAAGTATATTGATTAAAATAAGCAATATCGTAAAATATATCTCGAAAGAAAATGTACCAAAATAACAGATAAAACCCAAGTAGTACTATCTTTTATTTTTATGCATTAAAACCTAGGTGGTAACAGTATATTTCAATGAAATGAAAAAGATTTTATTACAAAAATTTAAGAAGTATATAGCTGCGTCGCCAAAATCTGGACAAAATAAACAATTTGTTTAAACAAAAGTTTATTTGTTAAAATGTACAAATCCCATACAGCACAGAAGTTTGCAGCAAAGTTGCAACATTGCATATTGTAATGCAATGCTTCAGAAACATTGTTAAAATATAGATTTGCAACATTGTTTTAATAATGTTGTAGCAATATTTAAAAGAAATGTGAAAAGAATCAACTATTTTGTGTTAAAATACTGTGTGTATACTGTGCTTACGCACATCTTATAATCATTAAGTTTTATTAAATATTAATTAATTTTACATAACAGCACATGATATTCTTTGTTTTCCGTTTTCATGATTGTACTACGATCATCTGTACAACTGAGATCAACGTAATAATATCTCGTATAAAGTATCATTCCGTTTTCTTTCGCGCGTGTATGATTTCAGAAATAATTCCAATTAATAAGCTACGGAAAATAATACGTACGCTTGTCTAACGCGCACATATCAAAGAGAACGAAAAAGTTAGTCAAAATATTATATTTTGTACTTTAATACATGTAAATTTTATATATACGAATGAAATATATTTTAATTACGTGTTCTATCTTATTGACAACTTCTATTCACCAGATGTATCAC